CTGGCCCTCTTCCACACGCAGCAGCTTCTCGATAGGCATGAAGACTAGGAACTCACATTCCTGGCCAATGGCATCAAAGATTGTCCGGCGATCCCCAAATCGGACGTCAGGGTTCAACGCCACCAAGCCCTAAACCCCAAACCCCAAACCCATGGCACGAGACCAGGGAAGAGCCTTGAACTCAGCTCGGTGACACTGAGGATCCACAACAATCTCCACGCTGTCCTAAGTTCGAAGGTTTTCGGGTCTAGGGCTTTCGGGGTTTAGGGTTTGGGGTCTAGAGTTGTAAAGTGCATGCTAAGTTGTAGGGTTCAGGGCTGCAGGTTGCGGGGTTTAAGGTTCGAGTTTAGGGTCCAGGGATTCTCCTCGTTGTCCTGATGGCTGTTGTGAGGCTCTAAGCTTTTGCTGGAATAGAAGCCCCGGAACCCAAAAGCCTACAAGACTGTTGCAGGGTTCTGGGGCTTCAGGGTTTTAGGTGTTGGGGCTTTGCGGGCCCTAAGCCCTTAACCCTAGGAGGGCTGGAACTCTCGGGCTTTGGAAACTCGAAGCCTGAAGGCAATTGAAGAACCCCATATACCGTAGCTAGGTTGGCCCTAGTCCTCTGAAAATCTGAGCAAGTTTTTCCTAGACTCAATAAAATGAAGGAAAGTACTATAAAGATATCCAGAGGGCCTACCGGGCTAGAAACCCTGAGGGCCCAACAACCCTACGTTTTGGTTCTCTATGACTCGATTACTGTATAGTCCTTCAAGTTTTGGGTGCTAAGAAGGGCACCCCCAAAATTCAGATCAACCTTAAACTGGAGGAGGAGTCTTTGTTCTTAAAGGTGTGGCGCCACACCTGGTAAGGTGTTGCAGCGTAGTGGTTTCAAAGGTGTGGTGAAGCCACCGTGCGCTGAAAATCCATGGCGGACATGTTTCTAAAAGGTGTGGCAAGACAATGATTCTCAAGGTGTGGCGATTCTTTTTTTCATGTGTGGCGGTTCCTGACTTATGTTGGGGCGTGGGTGGCAGGAGGGGGGGAGGGACGGTAGCCGCGGAAGGAGTTTAGACCACCGCAATGAATGGAAAACAAGCTTTGCACAGCTTGAAGAATTCCCCCGTCCATATGACCATCGCCTGCGCAGTCCAGTTTGCCACGCGCTTGTCTGCAGCTAGACAGAAACCTCCCTCTCTCTCATTATGTTACGCAGACATTGCAAACCTACACCTGCATTTTGAGCTGAGTGGGCGGCTATATGTTCTTCATCCGTATGCTTTGGAAGGTCGGGTGTGCGATTCATGCCTTAGATTCAATCAGTCCAGGAACGGGCAGTGGACGGCGTCACAATTGAAGGCAGCCACCAGACAAGAGTTCTGTTGCACTCGTCATTTCAAGCTCAGCCAAGGAACTGGATGCAGCAGCTCCCTCAACAGGATCACCCTCCTGCAATTTGTCAGAAATCCAGAACAAAACAGAAGTTCACGCTGCCACAGCACTTCATGTATGTAACCGCCAGCCTGCCCTTTGTTTTTTTTTCTGATGTTTGCTCTTCTTTTTCTTGTGGTACTCCTGCAGTGCGGCGTGGAGCTGCCAAACAAGCTTCTCGCGTGCGCAGTGGAATCCAAGCCTCCTCTTCGTCACGAAGATTATGTTGCCGTTGTCTGCTCTGTCTCCTTAACCAGTGCGGGGGCTCGCATCCGTGCTGTGTAAGGGCCTCGACTGAAAAATCACGACCTTTGACATATCACCCCAGTCTGTGTACAAACAAGTCTTCGAGGATGGTTTCAAACCTCAAAAAATGTACGTCGCACGAGCAGGCTCTCGCTACGATGACAGACCCAACATCCATCCATGTCTCGTGCAGCCACCCTTCCTTGGACGAGGCACCTGCAGATGCGTCGGGGCGCGGAGAAAACTTGAAATATCTTGAACACATAAGAGAGCAGGGATTGGGATTGACAATTCCGAAAAGCACTGCACCCTTTGCTGCTGGGTGGACTGCAATAGACTCAAGTGGCGCTCAGTGGCAGGTTGCGGAGAGGTTCGAATAGAAGGGCCAATGGATAAAAGCTTTCAAGTGTCAAGGCATGGTCAAGATTCCAGTTCAAAGTTTCGGGTGTCACTGCATCCAACATGGCAATAGCGAGGCATTGCGATTTACACCCGATCCCGTTCTGAAATCTAAAATTCTAGCAGACACGAAAACAAGTGAAGGCCATGCAAACTAAAGGTCAGATTATCCAGTTAATGTCAACAATTGGACTAAGCATTCTGATTTCCAACTAGGGCAATATCTCTGCCCCTATATGATTTGGCAAGTAACAACATGGGGGATGCCACCTGGGTAGACGGAGCCTTCGCTTCTTTTCGACGACTGTCTTCGCTTACCTTGATCAGCCACGTGAATCAAATAGTTTCCAACACAGGGGAGCCCCAAACAGACCCCAATATGCCATAATCCTTATTATCTACTCTGTTCCCTAGAATTCGCGGGAACGGCAAATTTCAGGTGTCAGATGGTGTCAGACTTTGCAGAGCTCAGTCAAAGAGGGTGGGGTTGGGGAAAAAATGTTGTCCTTGTTCCAGAACGGCGCAATCGTCCAGCCGCGGCCTGATGGGCAGGAACTGTTGAAGGACTAGGCCGACTCGTCTGTCCAATCTAACTTGTCGCACCTGGGCACTGCGCTGTGCCGCCTTGGCCTGCGTGAACTGCTGCTCGGCCTTCCTGAGTGCCGCCTCCGCATCCTCACTTATCTGCACACTGGTCGCGAATCGTGCAACGGAGCAGAAACAAGCTTAGAACTAAACCACTTTTCCAACTGTGCAACGGAGAAGCGACAACTTTCGAAGCATTGTGGCAACAATCGTACCCGGCATGACAACACGCCAACGCCAAGCTGACGCGCAGAACAGCAGCACGCAGCGCACTGCTTCAGGAAGGAATATGCTGCCAAGATGTCCTTGAAGCGGGCCTCCAGCATGTCTCTAGTTTTCAAAACAACTCAAGTCTGGAAGCACTTACTGCACAGTTCCCAACCTGGCCTCTGCAACATCTTCGCTCCCGGCATTCTTATCTGGGTGCCACGTCAATGCCAGCTTTTTGTATGCTTTGGAAACCTGATCCTGGCAGCTGCGCGTTGCAAACATGTTTGATTATGAGTTGTTGTGCCTGGCCTGTGTGGCGGGCTCCGAAAGGCCAAGCGCATCATATGCCCAAGCATTGGACATGGTAGGCAGAATGTGCTGCTGGCACTTCCGTACAATGTGCTCGTAACAGAACTCACGCTTCCAGCACATGTTCATCAGCCTTATATAGAAGGACGGTGGGATTATAAAGCTGATGGCTGTGAGTACAAATATGTACGCAAAAGCTACAAAGGTACCTGGTACCTTCAAACATCAAAAAGTCTGGCTGTACCACTCATGAGCCATTCCTGCATCGAAAAGTTTGTCGGGCAACCGACAACCATTTCTGGAGCCAAGAAAGGTTGTGTGACCAAAGTTACGCCACTGAAATTCAAATTATGCCGACTGTTGTTTGGCAGCTGTCCATCTTGAGCCACACGTGATGCCGTGGAAAAACATCAAAAAAACAACATTGGCCAAGTTAATGCCGTAAATCCTTGGAAACATATCTGCTATGATCCTACTGTTGTTGGTATAAATTACACCTCGCACGTTGACATTGAGGGAAATACTCCTTTGTATGTCGCCGTGGAGGCCGTAGTCTCACCTCCTTGACCCGATTGCATGCTCCAGGTTTTCACGAATACGCAGGAGTATACAGGACTCTGACCGGGATTGGTTCGCAGGGGATAGAATTGTTAGTACTCACCTTATTTTCCCAAAGCTTTCAGGTAGGCTTGGGGGACGCACCACCCCCCCGCCCCCCCATTTACAAGCGCATGATGATGGGAGGATCCCGCAATTTCAAAAAGGCGCCCCGATGCTGCTCCACAAGGAAAGCACGCCAAGGTTTAAAGAAGCGGCGCGGCTCCCCTATTTGCAAACAGATGATGTTTGGAATAGTCTGCATACAGACGGCCCAAATGCTGCTCTGAGGTAGGCATGCGCTGCCTGATTTTGGAAAGGGGTCCAGGAGGGCCCCTTGGAGAAACGGAGGTCCAATGACGCAGGGTCGGCGGCGTACAGGTAAACAGAGAAGATGAACCACAAGATCTGAGCTCAATGGTCTGTTGCATGAAGATGCATGAAGATGCATGCATCACATGGCCATTTCAGCTAGGTAAAGGTTTTAGAGTTGCTGCCTTTGACCACAGACTTCTGATTCCGGACTAGATATGCGAGCATGAACAGACCTCATAATAGATACTGGAGAAGCTCGACTAGATCCTGACAAGCTGCACCTTACGGGAGCGTAGTGCAGAGTCTCCAAGGACTCAGAACACTTCAGCAATGAAAAATGCAAGTAAAAATCCCAGGGAGATCCTTTTCCGATCGCACATTCTACGGCATTAGAACTCTCGCCTGATCACAGGGTTCCTATGACACCTATGCAAGGCTGGCAGCAGCGCGGTCAGCAGAACGCCTGGCAGGATGGAAGGAACCAGAATGGGCTTTGGGATCAGTGCATTTTAGGGAAAAACCGGCCATGTGGAGTTCATGGCGCTGTGGGATAAGCTTCATGAAGAACCCGAGAAACTTTCCTAGCTGGTGCAGCATGTGATGTAAAGGAGGCCTTTGGCAATTGTACAATGAATGGCAGATGATTTGGAAAATCTGCGCTTGAAGAAGTTGGCCGGCCACCCCCTGTCACGCAATGCACTCTTCCAGCATGTGGCAAGCCTCATGCGTGTTGGTGTGCGGATTCCAGCTACGGAGCTAGTGGGCGTGCGCCGTGTGAAACCCTCCACACTCCTGGCTACGGGAGAGACATCGTTGTGTGCCTCATGCGACTTCTGCACACGATTCGGTGAGACGAGCGCCGGGGGGGTCGTGGCTGCTCCAATCTGCATCTCTGGGACGGCCTTGGCCAAACATTGCGGCATTGCTCAGGCTCAGGCTCTGGTGTAGCGCTCAAGACTGTTACAGATCCAGGAATGCAAACAACCAGCTCTGGGTGTTTTAGATTTCGCATCTGCTACTGCCACTGCCATTCCCACTACTACAACTACGTTGCTACGACTACCACTGCCACTACGACGACCTCTACCACCACTACTACCAACAGTACCACTACCACTAATACTACCACTACCACCAATACTACCACTACCACCACTACTACTGCTGCAATAACACTCATTGCTTCTTCTCCAGCCCTGAACCTTAAACCGGTGTGTCAAGCATTTTTGTTCGAACTTCCGCTGCGGCATGGATGGTTAACGGTCGCTCAGGCTGCCCAGGGTTTGAGGGGAAATGGATCAGGCGCACTCCGGCTCGACCAGGCGCTTCACCTCCAACGCAAGCATAAGATCGTAGACCGCTGTCTGGTGAAATATTTTTCGCATCTGACGGTATGCTACATTTAGAAGGTCATAGTAGATCACTGTGTACACTCGTATAGTCTAACATGCTTTAGCATAGAGAGTGAGTTTTTGGCGGGTAGGGTTTCTTTGGAGTGTAGTGGGAGGAGAAGATGACATAGTCGGTAATTCATGGCATGAGGCTGGCACACCCCGGGGTCATGTCGGGTTTAGGGTTCAGGACCCACAGGTCTGATCTCTTTACTGAGATAGGGAGACGAAGGTAATTGAAATCATCCCCGTTAGCTCTATCCAGCCTCAGGCAGGATGCTGAAACAACATGATGGCAGATGGAAGGCAGCGTGGCTGACATCAAACGCGAAACTATTTTCCCGGCTTTGAAGTAGGTTTAGGCGACGCAGCACAGTACCGCTGCTTGATTTATGACTTCTTCGCACATTCTTCGAATTTGAATGAGGCGGAAAAGGCTAGAGACAAACTCAAACCATGGACAAGTCGGTTCCGAAAAAGCTTGGATTTGGATCATGTTGCCTGGAACTGGCAACCGCTGGGCCGGTCATGTTATCAACAAGAAGGGCTGCTCAGAGGCCGCAGAGATCTTGAAAGAGAGTTTGGGTTTAGGAACGACAGAGAACAATCGAAACGCGAAGAAAGCCCTCTTGGGTTGGCTGGTTTTAGGCAGATGATGTTTGCAAGCATAGCAAGCATGACAACGGCACCCTGCAGGCCAACAACAAAATGACGGACCTTGTGGAATTCTGTGTCAGATATTGAACTTTGTATACACCCAACAGAAGCCCTTAAGCACTTTGACCTCTAAAGCCTTTTGATGCCAAAGAGTGCGCCTTCACGCCATTGTCCAAGAAGTCCTGCAAAACCCTGTTGTACCTCGGGGCATGATACCCGGGACAAAACAGAGGGAAACACCGACGGCGGGCTGTGGTAAACTCACCATGCTAAGCGTGTTGCCACTTCTTGGTGCCACCACCTTCAGCGCAATAGCCGTTGTCCGCTTCCTGCGACTGTGCGCTGCTGAAGCACGAGCGCTTGCACCAACAGACCGCTGTCCTCATGGTTCCGCTACCGACACATCGAACTCCCTGGAAGAGAAGCCCTGCCCATCTTTCGCCTCTGCCAGAAGAAACGGTTTCACAGGGCTCTGAAGGAAAATCCCAATCTTTTATCGAACCGTTACACTACACACGGCAACCCTGACTTGGAGCACAGCCCGACAACCAAAGAAGGGTTTATGCCTTTATGCACATGCCTGGCTGGGTTGCCGTCCTCACCATCGCAGAGACCAGTGGTGTAGGGTGCCTGAGTTTTAGCCGAGGCCAGCTTCGGTCTTGCTATCCTTCGCCCAGCTTCACGGGTTAGTGCGTAGGGCTTTCACAAATGCACCTTGCGCGTTTAGGTTTTCATCGTTCGGCGCTGAAAGGTTTGGGGTTCGGGGTTCCGTGGTTTAGGGCATTATGGCTTCACATCCCGGTATGACTTTGAAAGCGTCTGAAACTCAGGAGCCAAATGCCAAGCTGCTCCCGGCTTCCCATCGAAGCTGGGTCGTGTCAGATCTGCCAAGACCCACACCTGGCTCCGAACGGAACGGAGGTCTAGTGTTGAGGATTTAGGGTTTAGGGTTCAGCAGCTGTGACTATGAATGAAGGTTCTGTTCAAGCCATCATCAAGACCAATTCCCACCCGCCCAAAGAATCACAAACATCAGAAATCGAATTGTTTTATTTTTGAAGTGCTCTTTCGATGTTAAACTGTGCTCGCAACTCCTTTTCTTACATTGCGGGAAGAAGATAATGTTTTTCAACGAAGTCTTGTTCTAAGAATTACAGAAACGTACAGGGCCTAAACCACGAACCCTAAGGCCACCACCACGAATCCTGGGGCCTAAACGACGAATCCTAGACGAATCCTAGGCATACCCCACCCTCAGACCACCGCTTGAGCATAAGCCACGAGTTATGACCGGAAGCCACGAGTTATGTCCGATTGCCACGAGATATGACCGAAAACCACGAAGAGTATAGAGTTGTTAATTACTACAGCTAGAGCCATTTGAGGTCTAGGAAAGGGCACAGGGGGGCGTCTTGAATTTTGGGAGTACCTTGTTCGGAGCTCCTTGTAATGAGTATCCTACTGTTGAGGGTGGATGCGTGGATCCCTTATCCCACCGTGACTACCGGCATCGAAGTGACCCCATGCTGAGATGCTACAGCCACTCACCCGGCATTCAAGATCGTCAAGCCACGACTTCAAAACACAAGCTTCAACTGCAGCAGGTCATTACAGCAGTGTACTCAGCAGCGGAATTAAATCTGTACATTCATACAAATACATACATACATACATACATACATACATACATACATACATACATACATACATTAAACATACATACATTAAACATACATACATACATACACACATACATACATATATAAATACATACATACATACATACATACATACATACATACATTAAACATACATTAAGCAAACATAAATATACCCATACAGACATCCATACAAAAAACACACATACATACATACATACATACATACATACATACATGCATGCATACATGCATACATGCATACGTGCATGCATACATACATACATACATACAGACATACATACAGACAAAAGACATACAGACATACAGACATGCAGACAGACAGACAGACAGACAGACAGACAGACAGGCAGGCAGGCAGGCAGGCAGGCAGGCAGGCAGGCAGGCAGGCAGACAGGCAGACAGACATACATAGATAGATATATATATATATATATAGATATATACATACATACATTCATACAGACAGAGAGACAGACAGACAGACAGACAGACAGACAGACAGACTGACTGACTGACTGACTGACTGACTGACTGACTGACTGACATACTGACATACTGACATACAGACATACAGACATACAGACATATAGACATACAGACATACAGACATACAGACATACAGACAGACATGCAATGAACGCACGCAACATCCGCCTCCGTGGAAGGACTGTTCTCCCTCGTGAAGATGGCAGTCTCCTTGCACGTGCCAACACATTCTTCCGGACACTACTTCGCGCATCAGGGACCTCGTCAGTAGGTGACGAGTAATGTTATAAGCAGGTCCAGTGCTCTCCAGATAACATTGACGTGGCGAGCTCCACCGTTGTTTACCTGTCCTTTCTGCCCGAAAGCACATGAAAGCGAGGGCGTAGGTAAAGCAGTGCGGCGAGACAGGCTGAGCCTCGTATGCTGCTGCGTTCGCATAGTAATTTAGTGCCCTCTGTATTTAGCAAGGTTGCCGCGTTGACACCCTTTTTGCATCCAGTTCTGAGCGCACAGTCGATTCTCTGCTTCCTGTACAAAGAGCGAACGCGCCTGCCCAGCCTCGTGCAGCCCTTTTATTGCACAGGGTGTTCGTCATCGGCACGGCAAAAATTCCTTCAGAAGCCGTAAAGTGCCCCTCTGAAGGGAGGTGAAGACGGCCGTGGCTCGTCTGCGCCGATTGTGACACTAATGGGAATGGTGGGGGTTCTTGAATAATTTAATTAAGCTCCCTTCGTTTGGGATTCTATATCACTGCCCCGGATTTTCTAAAACTCCCCAAGCCCAGCCAGCTGCCGGCACTTCAACACGTGTCTTCATGACGAAGAAGCTGCGTGGACTTTGCTGAAAGGACCCGCATGCTTCTAGGACTACCCACCAATCGGAGCCATGGAGGAAGGACCAACGCAGGGAATGTTGGACGAAGGAAGCTAGAATTCGGCCCCTCCATGCACCATTTCCCTGGTCTCAAGTTCGTTTCCTCGTGTGCTTGAGCCTTGAGCCACTAAGGCTATTCGCAACACCGTGTCCTTGCAACACCGAGCCGGGTTTGCTCAGGGTACCTTGAAGTTAAGAGAGAAAGAAGCACGAGCCTAACTGCAGCCCAACACTCGAAACTGAATACCCTTAAGCCGAAAGGTTGCTTACCCCCGCTGCCTTCACGCAGAAGTCGTAGACCAAGCCTGTGACAACAATCCTCAGAGGGTTTCACGTTTAGGGTTTAGGGTGTGCAGCGGACGGCTTGCTTGCACAATTTGGGCTCTCTGCTAAGTGAAGAACAACAACTGTCGGCTTCTCCTTTAGGGATCCACTCTGAATTGCGCAAAACATGTTTCTTCTTGCTTTCTCTCTTTCTTCCGGTGGCAGAAAACTAAACTTTTAAGCCCTAAAACCTGAGGCCCACAAGTCCTGGAGTCCTAGAGACGCGAGGCTCCAAAACCTTGACAGCTAAAGCTGGGCGTCTTGTTGATTTCGCGTGCTTCAAGTATCTCTGCGAAGCTGCGCCTGCCTGGGCCGGGTTTAGGGTTTAGGGTTAGTGTTCTCCAAAACACGGACACCAGTAACTTTGACTTTCCAGAGGTTTCTTGTTCTAAGAGGGTCTTATAGGGCTTGCATAGGGGCCTTGAAGGGTGTACAAAGGCGTTCATAGGGTTAGGGTTTGCGGATGTTGCAGCCGTGGGCGGGTTTTGCTTTTATGGTGAAGCGTTGGGGGTTTAGAGTGGTGGGTTCAAGATTCTGGGTTCAAGCCTTAGGGTTTGGGGGTTGGGGTTGCTTTGGCCTCCCGGCCCTTGCGGCGGCCCCGTCGCTCCTTCCCCCCCCCCCCCCCCCCNNCCTGCAGCGAGGCCAAGACGGGCTAGCTTACATCATTCGTGAAGCTGATGCCAAAGTACCGCCGGGCCGAGGCGGGCAACGCGAAGCATTCAAAATTGAACCAAAACCCTCAAACCCTAAAACCCTGAAACCCTAGACCCCGTAAACCCTTCCAATTGTTCGGGAGCAGCCCTTCCCGCGCCTGAACCGAAGAGCTCATCCTTCGTAGGGTAGCCTCACGAGCCGTCTTGAAGCTTCGGCTAGAATAAGACTCATGAAACTAGCCGCAAGGAAGGCACCTGGGGTTCTCTATGGTTTTGCTCATGGGTTTCGGGAAGTTTCGGCTTCAGGCATGAGCCCAGGCCGGATTTGGAGGCCCTATCCCATGTGCTTTTCCAAGGCGTATACCGCAGCTCAAGACCCTCTCTAATTCAATGTAGATTCTCAGCTTCGATCGGGGCGGGCCCCAGGGCTTCGGGTCCCAAGACCCCAAAACCTCAAACCCCGAAGCCCGAGCCGCAGCCCAGAGGCAGTCGGCTTGATCCCACTTGCCGTGACAGGCATCGTCGCGAGCAGTGGACAAAGCATAGCCACCTGAACTTCGGGTTTCGGGCTTAGGGAGTCAGGGCTTTTGGGCTTAGGGGAGGCCTAGGGCAGGGTTTTAGGCAGGGTCTTAGGGTCTTAGGGTCTTAGGGTCTTAGAGGTTTAAGCAGGTTGAACGTTGCAGGTTTAGGGTTTCGGATTTAGAGCGTTTAGAGCGGAGGATGAAGCAGTACTGCTTGGGGCTCCAGGGCTTTCCGGCGTTAGGGATTTAGGCTTTAAGGTGTTAGGGTTTCAGGGCTTAGAGGTTAGAGTTCCGGGTTTGTGGGCTTGAGGGTGAACGACTTGCTGCCCTGAATTTATGGCGGCCATACGTAGCAGAGACGAGGTTATGGGGCTTAGGGTACCAGAATCGTACTCGAACAACAATGTACAACATAGACTCAAAATACTAGAAGCTGTATCACGTCGACCCTTTAATATGACACCCCTGCTTTTGAGAAGCCCGTTGAATTTCTATAAGAGCTCAGGAACCCCTAGACGGCCCCAAACAGATGTACTGCCTGTTTCTATACAGCCCCCTTGATGCAAAGCTTGGCAGTGCGAGCCTGTAAACCTCATCTCTTCGACATCGACGCTCATGGCACCTCGCCGAAGGCATGGGCTTAGCATAGGGGCCTTAACAACAATAAACGGATAAATGGAAGAATGACAATACTAAGCAGAACCTCGATTTGCTATGTTTTGCTATACTTGTATGGGGACTCGAATCTGGTTGTCGGTTCAAGCCGGGAGTCGGAGAACCATGTTCCTTGACCCGTCACACTAGCTCGACGTTCGTAGCTAGGCCAGTGAGCTTTCGCTCCGCGGAGACCCGGGCTCTGGACTTGACCGACGTAATCCCTAAGCCCCCAAAGCCTCCAAGAAAAGGGCTGCTATCAGTTGGTGGTTTAGGGCCCCTTGGGTTTCGGGCCAAGACTGCTCGCCGGCAAGCCTTCCTGCGTTTCGCGGTGCTCCATGGCACTGAAGGAGTCGTACTTTTGGTGAAAGCCTTTGAAGACGACTTCCACCTTCGGAGTTGTTGGTGTTTAGACTTTAGGGGAGCTTAAGGACTCGGAAGGGTTCGATTCTGTCATGGTTCCAAGAGGGTTCTGCAAGGGCTTCAGTGGCAAAATGCACTGTCAATGCTGAAATCGGTACTCCTATCATCTGTCTCAAACCTCCCGGGCGAGTGCATCTCCAATTTGATGCTACATGCACAGCGGTCTTTCGAAATCAAATTACATCTTGCATCGTCGAACCAACTCTGGTTGTCTCTGTGCTTGTCTTGTCTGCGTCCGTGTCCCTGTCTGTGGGCCTGCCTGCCTGTCTGTCTGTCAGTCTGGCTCTGTATGTGTGCGTGCCTGCCTGCCTGCCTGTCTGTCCGTGTCTGTGTGTCTGCGTGTCTGCATGTCTGTGTCTGTGTGTCTGTGTATCTGTGTGGCTGTGTGCCTGTCAGTCCGTCCGTCCAAGTCCGTCTCCGTCCGTCCGTCAATCGCCCTGTCTGCCCTGTCTGCCCGGCTGGCTGTCTGTTTTTGTCCGTCCTCTTTCTGTCTCTGTCTGTCTGTCTCTATGTCGGTCGGTCTGTCTCTTTGCATGTCCGTCTTTCTCTGGCTGTGCAGGAGTTAAGCCTGGCAACCGCTTCCAGAAATCAAGCTGCAGCGTCACTGGGATTCTACCAGCGACATTGCAAGACGGTACCCAGCTTCCTGTGCCTGCAACCTGTGTTGGCATGGGGCTGGTATGCTCCACCACTATTCTGATAACAATGACTATACTTTTGGCTACCATTCATTCTGGTCCACTCTCCGCAGCCAGCCCTGCCCCCCCCCCCTCTGCCTGGCTGCGGTCAACCCTAGACAGCGCCTCACGGAAGTGTGCAGGGCGAGGCTTCCGATGATTCGGGATCTGTTAACAATTGGAGCAGGTTTTTGAGGTAATATGATATTTGCAGCCCTTGCATGGCATGCCTTCGAAACCTGAGCGTTGGCGATTGCAAGAGGTGCGGTCTACGAGAGCTCCACATTGGGCATGAACTTCCGAATCAAGAAGAGGCATGAACAAATAATGCAGCACGTGCACACAGTAGTCGTTGCGATTGCTTTTTGCTACCACTATTCGTATCAGTTTCATTCAACCACGAACCTCGTCATGATTCTTAATGGCATTATCACCACCAGTACTACGAGTGAGTATTATCAACATAATTACTGTTGAATACTACTGCCTGCTATCATGGTTGCGGGCAGTGCCGATATGGTTACGACTAGCACAGTTTTTACTCTCATACTTAGAACTTTTTGAAATATTGATACGACCCAACATCGGGAACGCACCATCAAAATAATACCATGAGTAGCATGAACCATTTTACTACTACAAACACTATGATTGTTCTAGTCTGTTTAACACTACCGATTGTGGGAGCAATAACAAATAAACACACTGACAATACCAACTACTGGAACGTCCCAACTGACAATGTCCGTACTGATAATACCACAGTTGGTTCAACTCTTGCTGTTTGTAAAGATCAGTGACAGCACCAATATCACTCCATTCCCAGGGACGAAAGTGCTACGTAGGTCCACCCCAGCCGACACGAGAGCTAGCCTGTGGGTGATGTGGGGCTTGGGGGTTAGGAATTCAAAACAAATTATGGCTTCGGGTCAGAGCAGATCTCCAAGGAGGTCTTTTGATTGCTGGACTTGAGGTGCCCACGCGGCTTTCGGGCTTAGCGATTTGGAGTGCAGGGTTTGAGGGCTTAGGGCTAGGATTTAACCGTTTAGAGTTGAGGGTTTACGGTTTAGAGATGTGGAGTTGATGGTTGAGGGGTTCAGGCTTCAGGGTTCAGGTACCCTGAAGCTGTTCCCGGCCTCAGCCAAAGCTGGGTCGAAGTCTGTACCGACGAAGGTCAAATTGCCGCAGAACGGCACCTGCTTGAGGCGCGGATTTTGGTGGAAAATACACCTAATCGCCTAAACCCCTAACCCCAAACCCTAAACCGTTTCGAATTCCAGCTTTGGAATGAGGCGACAACACAGTCGGATTCTCGACATTACTTTTTTCAATGTCATGACAACTATGACTACTATCATTGATGTCGTGATTGTGATGACGCTTCTTGGTGCTGATTCTTACTGTTCTGTGGTTATTTATACACTTCCTACGTTTCTCCTTATTACAACGCACAGAACGCGGTGCCTTCACCTCGATGGAGTCCATGAATTTGCAGAAAGGCGTTTCCGGAGCCTGGTGACGGGATCTGTCAAAGCTTAGGGGTACCTTCGCATGGCGGCCCTGCTTTGCTAGGGCTCCATAGTGGCATAAAGGGATTATAAGGCTATGAGGTTCATATCTGAAAAGGTCCTGAAACTCTCATATCTAAACCGTAAGCCCCTACTAGACCAGCTCAGCTGAGATCTGCGATGTAGGAAGGCCTTCTGCGGCACGGCCGTGCCATTCGTCCATTCGAAGCCTAAAAACAAATCAACGAGAGTTTCAGGGTTCAGGGCATGGGGGATTTAGGACTTAGGGTTTAGGGGTCACTTGGCTGTTAGGGCTGTTTAGGGTTTCGGATTTGGGATGGGGCTATGCTCGCTCCAATGCACTTTAAGTAGCTCCGTGACCGCATAGCGGGCACGAAGGGAATGCCACTGTGCCCGAAATTGCATTGCCCCATGGCCAAGACTAGTTAGTACGATCGATGAAGGTAATGAGTATTCTTATTGCTTATCTGGGTATTTCTATGAATATTGCCATCAGAATTGCTATTACCAGTACTACCAGTACCACTAGTAACTAGCACGACGAGCACTACGAGCACGACGAGTACTGCTAGTGCTACTGCTACTACTTCTACTTTGGCTGCTGCTGCTGCTGCTGCTGCTGCTGCTGCTGCTGCTGCTGCTGCTGCTGCTGCTGCAGTATCGCTACTGCTGCCACTGGTGTTGGCGATATTTTGCCAAGAGGCTGCAGTGGCTTGGAAAGTCATTCACATACCTGGCTGACGAGGACTGCAAACGCTGCAGGCCGAACCCAAGAGCCGCCTAAGCTGATGGTTCAGCACTTAGGCGTCACAGAATTGGGTCTAAGGATTGGCGCTTAAGGAGTAGGCTTTAGGCTTTGGGATTGAGGCCACAGGCTCTGGATCAAGGATGCGGAAACTCTTGCAAAGATGCCCGCCTCTCTTTGGCAGTTCCCTCGCGCTTGTCCTTTTGATTCAGGCAGTTCTCCTGCCAAGGAGCAGCAACAACCCCAGATGGCCGGACTATTCGAGCTTCCTAAACCCGGAACCCTTGCGAGGGCCTCCCCAGCGAAGCTGCAGTGGTTGGGAGGGTGGAAGTCTTTGCTGGCGATGATCGTAGCGCCCGCAGACTTGGTCGGAGAGGTCTACAGGATACTGTTGTGCACACAGGCAACCCACAAGCATGAGACTGCACACCCCAGACCCCGAAGCTTACCCAAACCTTAACCCCGAATTTTGCAGCTCCTAAACCCGAAACCCGGGACCAGACCTCTCACTCGCAAACAAGAAACACAATGCCAAGCCAAGGCACTGCAGCCTTTTGAATGAGCTGCTCCGTGTTCCTGGCAGATCGCCAAATGCCGCTTCCGACTGCGAGATGCAAGCATGATCACCACATGTTGTAAAGAACAACCCCTCAAACGAGAAGCTTCCCCCATACATAGAACTTTAAATCGTAGAAGCCTCAATCTAAGGAACTCCCCAAATCTTAAGAACTCCCTGCAAACCCGTCTTAGCCCCCCCAAAACCCGGTTCTGCTGTTCATCCAGGTTCCCAGATCCAGGCGGAGACGTTGGTTGTTGAGGGTTTGGGGTAGACTGACAAGAACTTAGGGTTGGAGTTTGGGGTGTCGGGCGTAGGGCTTGGAGCTTGGGATGCAGCATGACGTCCCTGTGCCCGACCGAACCTTTAAACTCTGCACAACCTAACCCTAAAGTCCTAAAACCCTGAAGCCGTAAAACCCAAAACCTGAGACCCTGACCGCAAACCCTAAACAAACCCTGCAGACCTTTGTAGACCTGCCCCCTGTGCGAAAGACCCATGCAAAAGAACTCACTCAACCTCCGTAGGTTTCTAAACCCTAAAGCCCCCTGCAAACAGTAGGAACGAAACCAAAAGCATCCAAAAGCACCAATAACCCAGATGCCCTAAAGCCCGAACACCTCTAAACCCCAACACCGCACCCACGCCACCCCGTCTGTAGGGAAGGCTCCTGAGGAAGGTGTCGCCGCCAAAGTCCCAACAAGGCTGTCGCAAGGATCCTTGAGTGAAGTCCTTGGCCATGAAATTTACAACTGGCTTCAGAAGGTTCTGTTGTGGTTCATGAGTCCAGGAGGGTCTCACAAATTAGGAGTGCAGTACCCAAACGGCCTGGTCCACACTGTAAGGTTCTTACAAGAGACTTGGTAAGGGTCTGCGACGGGCGCCTTGCTGAATAAAGGCTTATAGGGATGTTCAGGATTGTTGGGTGTAGGCTTTAGCACTCTACGGTTTTACGCTGTAGGGTTTTGATAGCTGAGGACTCGACTTGCTGCAAATCGATGACCACGAGAGCCGTCTTGCTGTCGAAGAGTGGCGCGCTGGTGCTCCTGGAACAAAAGGGTTTGGGGTTTCAGGGCTTCGGGTTTGAAGCTTAGGACGCTGCAAGTAAAATGTGTCCGAAGCCGGCCGCCTTATCAAATATATCACACTCACGGAATTCACGACGACGCTACCACAGTATAGCACACAGCTGGAAGTCGGAGACGCAAAGCCTGGCGAATCATCCAAGTCTCAGAAGCCGAAAAAAATTCGCCGAACAGGACCTCAACCCAGAACCATGGTGTCCCCTTGTTGTGCTTCACCGCGCTTTCGAAGACAAACTCGTCGTAGTCTGTGCCCTGCCTGCAGCAAGCCCTCGAAGCTTGGTCCTGACATTGAATCGTTGACCACTCTGAGGTTTAGGGTTTAGGGAATAAGATTTAGGATGTAACAGTTTAAAGTTGTTTAGGGTTTAGGGAGTAAGGTTCAGGATTAGCAGTTTAGGGTTGAGGGTGTAGAGTTCAGGATCTAACAGCTTCGGGCTAGGGGTTAGGGTTTACGGTTGTGGGGTTTAGGGTAAAACGGTTCGCAGGGGCTTGGGATCTAACAGTTTACGGAGTATCCCGGAATCATTAGACACTCTGCGTGCTCTACCACTGTAATCTGTGTACAGAACGAGCCGGCACCTTCTGGCAAGGGTCAGTCAACCTTCAAACTCTGTCCTCAACTTCGCCTGCTGCCGGTTTTGCATTTAGGTTGTAGCGCTAGGGTTCAGGGTTTAAGGTTTAGGGTTACGGTTAATCCTGTCCGGCGACGGCAGGAAAAACCACAAGTGATTCTTACGGTTCGGTGCTAGCTGGTAGCTCTAGCAAGCAGACCCTGCTCAACACCCTGATCTTTATAGTTCTAAACCCCCAACAACCCGAAAGCCTAAACTCTAAAACACTGAATCCCAAGAACCCTGCACCCGAAACCCGAAAACCTAAACCCA